GAATTCATTAAAGTTGCAGGATACAAGATCAATACAGAAACATCACTTGTGTTTCTATTACCCAACACTAAACAAAAAGGAAATTTAAAAAGAAATTCTGTTCACAATAGCATCTGAAAAAATAAAATACCTAGGAAAAAAATGTAACCAAGGAGGTGAAAGGTTTGTTCACTGAAAACTACAAAACAATTGCTGAAAGTTAAGAAGAAAAGGAGGAGGAGGAAGAGGAGACAATGACACAATTATATGACAGGACATTTGTTTATTCCAAAACAAATCTATGTGCATAAATTGGAAGACTTAATATTGTTACAAAAGCAGTATTACTTGTGATAATTAATTTTACGTGTCAACTGGACTGGACACAGGGTGCCTAGAGATTTGGCCAAACACTATTCTAGGTGTTCCTACGAGTGTTTTGGATGAGATTAACATTGAAATTGGTAGACTAAGTAAAGCAGATTGCCCTCCACAATGTGGGTGGGTCTAACCCAACCAAAGGCCTGGACAGAACAAAAGGGCAGATTCTCCCCCAGGTTAGAAGGATTATTTCTGCCCGATTGCCTTCAAATTGAGACATCAACTTTTTCTTGCATTAGGACTTGAACTAAAATATCAGCTCTCCCTGGATCTCAAGCCTGCTGGCCTCTGGATAGAAACTAAGCCACTGGCTCTCCTGACTCTCCAGCTTGCCAACTCATCCTGCAGATCTTGGGATCTGCCCACCTCCATAACTGCGTGAGAGCTAATTCCTTATTATAAATATATCTTTCTACACACACACACACACACACACACACACACACACTTGATTCTTTCTCTAAAGCACTGTAATACATTATATCCAAAGTGATCTACAGAGTCAACACAATCCCTACCAAAATTCTAAAGGCCTTTTTCTTTTACCAAAATGAAAAATCTGATCTTAAAATTCATATGGAATTGCAAGGGACCCCAAAAAGCTTTCAAACTTACTACTTCAAAATTTACTGCAATAATCAAAATAATATAATACTGACATAAGGATAGACATCTAGACCAATGAAATAGAACTGAGAGTCCAGATATAAGCCCATACATCCATGGCCAAATGATTTTTTACAATAATGCCAAGATCATTAAGTGGAGAAAACAGTCTCTGGGACAATTGGGTAACCACAGGCAGAAGAATGAACTTAGACCCCTATCACTCCATCTATACAAACTAACTCAAAATGAATCAATAACTAGACAATAAGATCTAACACCATAAAACTGATTAAAAGAAAAAACATAGGGATAAATCTTCATGACCTTGAATATAGCAAAGGATTCTTAGATATGACATCAAAAGCAGAATAAGAAAAAGAAATAAATTGAACTTCACCTAATTTGAAAAATTTTGTACATAAAAGGACATTATCAAGAATGTGAAAAGAGCCCTGGCTGGTTTGGCTCGGCGGTTAGAGCGTTGCCCTGTGGACCAGAGAGTCCTGGGTTTGGTTCTCACTAAGGGCACGTACCTTGGTTGCAGTGTCCCCACCCCAGTTGGGGTCATGTGGGTGGCAAACCAGTGGATATGTCTTTCTCACATCCATGTTTCTCTTTCTCTCTCTTCCTCCTTTTCTCCCTCCCGCTCTATCTGAATATAAATGCAAAAATGTCCTCAGGTGAGGATAAAAAAAAAGAATGTGAAAAGACAAACAAGAAAATGGGAGAAAATATCTCCAAATCACATATCTGTAATGATCTAGTATTCAGAATATATAAAGAACTCTTACAACTCAACAACAAAAAGACAACACAATCATAAAATGGGCAAAAGATGCCCTGGGGTGGCTCAGCAGTTAGAGTGTCGGCCAACGAACCAAAGAGTTGTGGGTTCGATCTCCAGCCCTAGCTGAGGTCACTCAGGAGGCAACCAATCAGTGTCTCTCTCTCTCTCTCTCTCTCTCTCTCTCTCTCTCCCCTCTCCTCCCTCCCTCCCTCTCACTCTATCTACACAAAAACAAATGAAAAAGTATCCTCGAGTGAAGATTAAAAAAATAAGGGCAACTAATCTGAGTGAATATTTCTCCAAAGATATAGAAATTACTAACAAGCATATGAAAAGATGTTCAACATCATTAGTCATTAGGAAAATACCAATCAAAACCTCAATAAGTTACCAATTCATACCCACCAGGATGGCTATAATTTTTTTTCAAAGTAAAACAACTACTGATGAGGATGTGAAGAAACAGGAATTCTAAAACATTGCTGGTGGAGCCCTGGCCAATTTGGCTCAGCAGTTAGAGCATTGGCCTGTGGACCGAAGTGTCTCGAGTTCAATTCCCAGTCAAGGGCATGTTCCTGGGTTGCAGATTCCATCCTTGGTCTTGGTCAGGGTCCTGTGGGAGGCAGCCAGTCAATGTGTCTCTCTCACATCAATGTCTCTCTGTCTGTCTGTCTGTCTGTCTGTCTGTCTCCCTCCCTCCCTCCCTTCCTCCCTTCCACTCTCTAAAAATGAATGGGAAAATATCCTCAGGTGAGGATTAACAACAACAAAAAACCCACATTGTGGTGGAAACATAAATTGGTTCAGCCACTGCGGAAAAGTTTGGCAGGTCCTCAAAAAATAAAACATAGATTTATCACATGAACCTACAATTCCACTCCTATGTGTATACCCCAGAAAACTGAAAACATATGTTTATACAAAGACTTGTACATGAAGGTTCATAGCAATATTCATCAACAATAGTCAATAAACAAAAAGTATTAATAGTCCAAATGTCCATTAAGGAACGACCAGATAACAAAAGGTGGTATATATACATACAACATACAATTGATTAGCCATTAACAAGGAATGAATAGACCTCAGGGGAGGGGGCGGGAGGGATGGATGAGATAAACCAAAGAACTTATATGCAAGTATGAGTAACTAATAGACATAGACAACAATGCTGGGGGCAGGGGGACCAGGATGGTGACGAGTGTGTCTAGGGGGGGGAAAGGAGAAACATCTGTAACAAAAATAAATTAATAAAAATTGGAGGAAAAACAAGAAGGAATAAAATATTAAAGCGTGCTACATCATGAATGAACCTTAAAAACATTATGCTACATGATAAAATTCAGAAAGAAAAGGCCACATATTGTATGATTCCATTTATATAAAATGTCCAGAACAGGCAGATCCACAGAGACAAAAAGTAAATTAGTGGCTGCCAGAGGCTGGGCCACAGGGAGAATAATGAACAGTGACTTCTTAGTGGGTAGGAAGTTTCTTTTTGGGATGATGAAAATGTTCTGGAAATAGATGGTGACAGTTGTATAACATTGTGAAAATACTAGAAAACACTGAATCATATACTTTAAATGGTTAAAATGATAATTTTTTTCCTTAATAAAAAAGTAAAAATCATTTTTAATAAAAAATAAAAAGTCTAAGGAGCTTGGATACCCTAATCTCTCTTCATCACACACAGCCTGATAACCCTCCTCACCAACCAACCCTAGCAGAGAAATAATAATAGCAATGACAACAACATTAGAAACATCTAGCACGTTGTAACCTGATATATATAATTCTGTCCATATTCAGATCCAAAGAATTTCATATCATTGTATGCATTTTAATGGAAAAATTAAAGAGGAATAAAGACATCAGAAGGCAATAAAAAACTAAGCTTGAGGAAACAATGCTTTAAACTAAATGCAGAGAAATAAGAAGTGGCCAGAGGACAACTGCCAACATCAGACGTGGACCACGGTGAGCACCCCAGCGTAGACGGTAAATGGACACCGCTGCAGGCGACCCCTTCTCCGTCCCTGGCTGGGACAATGGCACTGACTATAAGTACAGTTACAGAGCTGATATCGTGTTCAAAGGCCCTCATACTAAAAACCACTATTAAAAAGGAAGTTCCTTGGTTCTTATCATAATTCTCTAAAACAAATTTAAGTGCTAAATTTTTCTAAAATATCTGTGATGCAATTTCTAATCTGCAACTAAATCTGGTCCTTCACGCCAAGCTGCAGATGGGCCAGGAGTCCCGCGTGTGCCCCACGTGGGGCCAATTGCAGTGAATAAGCAAAGTCGCATCTCTGGAATCTTCCAAAATGGGGACTGTGGAAAATTTTAACTAGATTTCTTGATTTAAATATAAATATCTTATTTCATTTGCTTATACATGGGTATAAAAATAGTTAAATTCTACTTTAATCCTGAAGTTCAGGTGTGACAAAGGCACGTTAATGAATTTCTACAATATTTACAACGGCTGTTGGTGGAAGAGAGGCCATGCAAGCAAATGCCTTAAGGAGGTGGTGGAGGAAGCAGCTGTTAGAGACCTGCGGATGGGGGTGGGGGAGGTGGTTGTAACAACTTGGTTTGGGGAAGCAGCCGCAGACTGACACACGTGCCTCTGTTTAGGACATCGGGCCACGCAGGGGTGGAGCTCAGGGCCACTGCCAAGGCCTCATCTTCCCATCCCCATTTTAGCATCAAGTTTGGGAAGAAGATGTTTGCTTCCACACACAAAGAAAAAGATTCTGCTGAAAAGGAGCAACAGAAACACTGAGCGTGAAAGGAAACGACAACGGAGAAGCCTGTGGCTAAGAAATGGCACACAAGTCAGTGTACTGGGGGCTGAAGAGCAGCCATGACCAGAGCCACCAGGAGGCCATGGCCTTCAGCTGCTGTCCTGGCCCCACCAGAGGGTCAGGCCTGCCTGCCACAGCCTCGGGCTCTCGCTTCCAGAACACTGATTCTGCAGTTCCCTTCGAGCAGAGTTACTACTCCGTTATCACACTGTTCACTGTTTGCTATACGTGGAGGCGTGAATTTATTAGAGTTGGAGGCCATATTTTTACCCAAATGGAAAAAAACCAACCCTACTTGAGGAATCATTTCATAAAGTGTTGGTTTCTAGCCATCTGCGCAGGAAGCCCCTCCCTCACAGCTGAGGCCGACCTGTACTTAGGGATAAGCGAGGAGCTGCACTGAGTTCCTCCACTTTCTTCTAAAGACTTACTGTATGTTCCCTGCTTCTGGGATTTCAGTCGAGCTACATTTTACTTGGAGATTAGAAACTGGAAACAAAAGTACATCTGCTGACAAAGGGTGTTCCAAGAACGGGAAAGCCTGGGGAAAACCAAAAAAGGGAAGCATCAGATAAACAAAGAAAGTGGCTCCTGCCAGCCAGAAAGTACTAAACACACACAATGTGAAAAATGAGCTCCTTGTCCGTAAACGGAGTGATGCCGTAAAGGGAGGAGGGAAGAACTCGCCAGCGGACAGGTGTGCCTGGGGTAAGTCGCGGGCAATCCACATTCATGCAAACATCTTGGCACACTGACACCGTCCTGACCCCACAGCAAAAGCTCTGCCAAGGGAGCGGCCTGTGGCTGACTGGCCATGGGACAGTAAGATAAAAGGAGACTAGATTCACATTCAGACAAACAGGCAGATCACAATCACATGCTAAAAGCCCCACTTAGGAGAGACAAAGAGACAGAGACAGACAGACAGACAGGTACACAGCAAAGAAAACCATGCTACTGATCAATCCATAGTATAAAACTTGTTCTCAAATCCTTTAGGAAAACAACAGCGATTTGAGGCCCAGCACTGCCACATCATTTTTTTTTTTTTTTTTTTTTAAAGCATTCATTCAACCCTGACCACATGCAAGGATGCTGTGCCTGTGATGGCCCAGGGCCCGAGTCCAACTATCTGGACAGGAAGGGCGCAGAGGGCTCAGACCACTGACAACACAGAGCAGGCAGCCAGTCCAGGCGGATGCTGCCCTGAGGCTGTGCCGGGGCCAGAGCTGTAGGTAACAAGGGTCATGTTCCTGGAGCATCAAGTTTACCTGAAAATATGAGTGAGAAGCACAAATACTGGTCATTACCATATTTAAATCTGCCCTGGCCGGTTTAGCTCAGCGGTTACAGCGTCAGCCTGCAGACTAGAGTCCCGGGTTCAGTTCCCACTAAGGGCACATACCTCGGTTGCAGTTCGTCCCAGCCCCTGTTGGTTGTGTGGGTGGCAGCCACTTGATATGTCTCTCTCACATCAGTATTTCTCTCTCTCTTTCTTCTTCCCTCTCTCCCTCCTGCTTTGTCTGAAGATAAATGCAAAAATGTCCTCAGATAAGGATTAAAAAAAAATTTTTTTCAATCAACTTTCAGAATAAAGCATGAGATTAAAAAAAAAGCATGGCTGTTATTCCAACCTGTTTTGCAGACTTTCCCATTTCTTTTTTCTTTAATATATTTTTATTAATTTTTTGAGAGAGGGGAGGGGGGAGAGAGTGAGAGAGAATTGATGTGTGAGAGATACATCAATCGGCTGCCTCCTGCACGCCCCCTACTGGGGACCGAGCCCACAACCCAGGCACGTACCCTGACTGGGAATAGAACCAGGACCTCTCAGTCCATGGGACGATGCTCAATCCACTGAGCCACACCGGCCGGGCTGACTCTCCCATTTCTACCTGTGGTTTCAAGGCAGGAGCTACTCAGGTGCTGCTCTAAGAGCCTCTTCCTCCCTCCTCCCCACAGTGCGTCCCCTCCCCAGGCTTCACCTACAGAGTCAGCATCTAGCTCTGAGTGCCTGGACAAGCTTGTCATGTTGCACCGGTGCTCGTATTCACACAGCCAACGTGGAACTTGTCACCTTCAGTGCTTCTGACCCTGTTCAACCCGTCTCCACCTACCCCGCACAACCTACGACACCACTGACACCACCACAGCCAGCCACCACAGCCACAGGCAGAACTGTCCTGCCTCCCCGATTCTGACACCCAACCATTAACCAAGACCTGTCCATTTCGCTGCCTCCACCTAACTCTGCCTGTTACCACCACCTCCCTCTCAGATTTGGTTCCTCATCTGCCGTCTCTTCCAGCCAAAACCACCCATCCAGAGCTCCTAGTCCAAGCCTCTCATTTTCCACGTAAGGAAAACCAGGCCAGTCAAGCAATGTGTTTGTAAAACCCCCATATTGCTGAGAAACAGGCAACAGGATCAAGGGCGAATCACCACATTTCGATGCAGGAGACATATACTGATTGAAGCCAAAACATTTTTTAAAATCCATTTTTTCTATAATATATCCAACATGATGGAATACCATGCAGCTGTAAAAAAAGAATGAAGATCTTTGTATACTGTGATGGTGTGAGCCTCATTTGTTGTTAAATTAGGGGGGGAAATCAAAATGGAGAAAAGCTTCTACTGTTTTCTAAGAAAGAGAACTGTGTTCTCTCTCTCTCTCTCTCTCTCTCACACACACACACACACACACACACTGTCTCTCTCTCTCTCTTACACTAAAAGCAGAAAGACCCAAAAAACTAAACAAAAAGTTACCTCTGGAGGAGTGAAGAAACAGGGTGGAGTAAGCAAGAATGAAAGTTAAGTTTCTGAAAATATTTGACTTGGAACCATGAAAATGTTTCACAAACATATAACACAAAATTTAGAAAGCTATTCCTTAAAATAAAAACAAATGAATCTAACTGTCAACAAGAAATTGGTTCAACTTTAAAACTTAATTTAGCAGAACATCACTAGGAGTGAACTCTAAGGACAAAAGAACTGGAGAGTCCTGGCAGGTCTCGCTTAGTGGTTAGAAGACCACTGACCTGAGGACTAAAAGGTCACAGGTTCGATTCCCAAACAGCAGCAGGTACCTGGGTTGCAGGTTTGATCCCAGGCCCCTAGTCAGGGTTGTGTGGGAGGCAACCAATTGATGTGTTTCTCTCACATCAATGTTTTTCTCTCTACCTCCCTCCTTTCCTTTCACTCTATCTAAAACTCAAGGGAAAAATATCCTCAGGTGACGATTAACAACAACAAAAAGAAGAACTAAAAAAAAAATCTTAGACATTTTCAGTCATCATGTTGTCTGTACTATATTGGAATTGTTATTCTAAAATTGTCACATGTATTTTATAGGCTAAAACAAATAAGTAATGATGCTAATGTTGAGAACCAGTTTTTCAACATAAAAGAGTCATATAAAATCAAAGAAGTGAAAGCTAGATGGTTCTAAATTTGAAATGAAAACATCAATATGAGCTCATGATGTATTTTTACTTAAAAAGTATAATTCCTGGCTGTCCAACAAAACGACCTAGAAACAATAACCAGCCCCATACCAACGAGTACCCATGGCACCCAGACTGTGGTCTCAAGATACCATTTTCTACAAAAGGGAACCTGAGCTACTTAGACAAATAGCCAATTCTAGGTCTGGGGCAAGAAAGTACAACATGAATCGGAAACATCTTACCATACCGGAAAGCAGGGGAAGGAAGACCAGGGGTCTTGGTAAAGCAGGAAGGAGTCAACTCAGAGAGGCCCCACTGGCCAGCAGGGGAGCAATTTTAGCATGTATAACATGTTAATAACAACTGCAATGAATCAGAACACAACACCTGCTGACATTCTTGCATTTGTAACAATACTAAGTCATCACTGGTCACCTGTGCAGTGGCTAGGGGTCCATCTCACTACACTGAGAACCAACAGAGAGAAAGAATCAGGTGTTTATCCTGCCTTTCCTATTTAGATTGTCCCTTAGAGTAGCCACTGGTTAATGAGTGAAGGTTTCTCTCTAGAGAAATATTTAATTTAATCAAGGCAGGGTAAATGATAACAGTTATAACATCATTGTTTTGCAACCCGGAATGACTGAGTCCCGGCACCGCGGGCGCCCGTGTGCAAAGCCTGAGCCAGAACGGGACCAAGCCTCTGGCCTACCTGCCATTTCACAGGAAATCCAGGGGACAGAAGAGCGCGTTCGATGGAAATGGCAAAAGTCAAAACAGGGAAACTTCTAAACAATAAGCCTGGATTTTCCAAAAACGAAAATGCAAGGAGAAAGGTGTAGGGAGGGGCAATCAACTGATTAAAGAGACAAGCAGCGAATCAGCTAACCGCATTTGTCTGGGCCCTGCTTCAAACAAGCTGAAAAAAACCAAGACAACTGGGGACAACTGAATGGTATGGTGACTATGAACAAAATTTTAAATAGCAGTTTTCTTGACATTTATGAATTTATCAAAAATAGCTATGCATAAAATATCACTTTGTATGCAAACATTTCAAATCCATATTATATTCATTTTAATGTTTTAACATATTAAAGAGTTCTTAATTTCAAATATAAAATGTTACTCCATCACAAATTAGAGGTGAAAACACAAGGTATTTTGTTTCTTTTCAAACTCCTGGAGAAGGAGGTAGAGGGGCACAGTTTACATTCTGAAGAGACGCCATGCTCGGTCCAGGCAGCCTCCAGCCTCAGCAGCTGGCGGGCACCCGCATGCAGGGGGTCCTAGGGAAGGGTGGGCCTACTGAGGGAGGTGCATGCTGCTGCCTTGGTTCTCACACTCTTTAATCACCACTGGGCCATTACACAGGATGACAACTTCTATGACCCTCCAAGTTTAATGCTGGTTTTAAAAAAATAAAAATGAAGTCAAACACAGACCAAAACACTCTGCCACGTGTGAAGAAGATACTCAAACACATCTGTCACGGATGAAACTGCTGGAGCCCAGATGCGCACATTCTGAATGTTTTTAAATTTAATTAGTTTTATACAAAACGAACAAATGACAGCAAAAGAAAGAAATCAACTGAAGTAAACTTTCCTAGCGACGTACCTGTGTCCCCTGTGCTGTCAGAAGGTTCGGCCAAGGAGGAAGACTCCAGGAACGAAAGGCGCAAAGCTGCGTCAACCTTACCCTTCTTCAAATAATGTTGCAGAGTCCCTGACCTAGGAAGCAAGAATACTCGGTCAACTTGCATGTGAAACATTTAAAAGCTTTAAAAAATAGAATTTCAAAAATGTACAATTTCTAAAAAAGGATCAAGTAAGAAGATAAACCATTTTTGACCACTCCATAAAAACATGTGCTTTGGGTTTCCCACATTTTTTGAGTTGGACACAAATTACAAAGTCTGACTATCTTCAGATTTTCATTTGAAAATCACATTTATCATGAAGGATTACAAAAACATAGAAAAGCATAAGAAAGGTGTACAGTTTCATAAGGTTATTACCAAATGCCAGTCCATTTGCCACCCAGCCCAAGGAATGGAGCACAGATGGAACCCGAAAAAGATGGGTGCCTCTCTGACCCCAAACTCTCTCCTCCCCGTAAGGAACAGCCACCCTGACTCTGACGGATATCGTCTCCTTGCTTTTCTTCAGCTTTATCACTGGGTGTGCAGTCTGACACTTCTGCCTGCTTCTAAATTTTACTGACTGCACCGCACTGTCTGCATTCTTTTGTCTTGCTCCCTTCCTCTGCAGCCACTGTGCCCAGCAGTTTCTTTTCACTGCTGTGTAATACTCTGCTGTGTAAATCAGCCGTCATTTCCTTGTTCATTCCCCTGCCCCCTGGGGTGGTTTCTGCTGTGGAGAAATACAAGCACCATCGAGACCCTTCTGGTGCAGCTGTCTGATGCACCCGGGCATGCATGTCTCTGGTGCGCACACCTAGAAGTGCAGTGCCAGGTTACTGGGCCAGTCTCAACTTTGCTACTTAAAGTCAAACTGTTTGTCAAAGCAGCTGTAACAATTTAGACTCCCTCCAAAAGAGACTAGTCTCTGTTGTTTTACATTTTGAACGAGACCTGTCAGACTTTCATTCTTGTGAACTGAATGGCTGTGTCGAGGTAGCCTAAGGATTCTCTATTATGTAGAATTTTATAATTATTTTGAATAAAGAATTCATGACATTTTACATCTGACCACTGCTGCAAAGGAGATTTAATTTTGCAGCCAAGCCTCCCTTCACTTTCCCAATGGTCACTGCACTCAGTTTTCTCGCCCAATCTCCATTCACTACTCGAGACACTGACTCCGACCCCCACGCCAGCAAGAGCATGCTAATCCCTGGGCAGAGTTAGCTCATCTCCGTGCACACCCCAACTCAAAATTAATGAAGGCTTTCCTTCCTCCTCTGGGACCTGCAGAGATTCTTACTCTTTCCAAAGAACTTGAGCATGAGCACAAGGAGTGAAGAGCCTGCATGAGAAGCATGGAGGATGCCGGGGAAGGACACTGGCCCCTGGGGCCAGCTCTACCGCAGATTCTTCAATTAGGGGATCAACAAATCCCCTTTGTACTTGTAACAGTAAAGGTCCAGTTACATCAGAGAGTCTTCACTAATAAAATCACACTTTCATTTTCTTAAAAAAAATTTTTTTTCTTTATTGATTTGAGAGAGAGAGAGAGAGAGAGAGAGAAATATGGATGAGAGAAAACATCCACTGGCTGCCTCCTGCATGCTCCACACTGGGGATTCGGTCCACAACCTGGGCATGTGTCCTGACCAGAAATCGAACTGGCAACCCCTTGGTATGTGGGTCAATGCTCAACCACTGAGCCACACCAGCCGGACCTACAATCACACTTTCAAAAACATAAATTTTAATCCACTCGAGAAACTGTATAGACCAATTAAGGTAATACACACACACACATACACACACACACACACCCTCAATATTCTCCATTCGTATTTTGTAAATCAAAACAGTTTATCATGCTCAGTGAAATAAGGCAGTCAGAGAAAGACAAGGACCATATGACTTCACTTATATGTGGAAACTAAAGAACAAAACAAACGAACAAAATAGAAACAGACTTGTAGATATAGAGAACAGGCTGACAGCTGTTAGAGGGGAGGGGGGCTGAGGAGTTTGGGAGGAAGAAGTGAAGGAATTAAGGAAAAAAACCCTCATAGAAAGGGGGACTGGGGGAGGTAGAGAGGATAAAGGGGGGTAATGGGGGACAAATGGTGATGGAAGGAGACTTGATGTGGGATGTTGAACACACAATATCAGATTATGTATTATAGAATTGTACACCTGAATCCTATATCGTTTTATTAACCAATGTCATCCCACTAAATTCAATAAATAAATTTAAAAAGTTTATCAGCCCTGGTCAGGTAGCTCAGTTGGTTATAGCAACCTCCCGATATGCCAAGGCTGGGGGTTCGATCCCCAGTTGGAGCACATACAAGGGTCAACCAGTGAATGCATGAATGGATGTTAACAAGTCGATGTTTCTCTTTCTCTCAAATCAATAAATTAAAAAAAATTTAAAAACAAAACAGTTTATCACTCAAACTTGATCTACAGTTCTTGCCAAGAGCAAGTTAACTCTGCATGTTTCTTTGGCAAGGAAACAAAAAGTCAGTGCTGGCAATTTATTTGTCCTTGCCTGTTAGAAACACTTCACTGACTCTACTACCCCTGTTAGGTTTTAGTAATGAAGTTGTGATAAACTCAAAAATGAATTAGGGCCCTAGCCAGTTTGACTCAGCGGTTAGAGTGCCAGTCCTTGGACCAAAGAGTCTTGGGTTCAGTTCTGGTCAAGGGTATGTCCCTTGGTTGCCATTAGATCCCCAGCCCTGGTTGGGGTTGTGCGGGAGGCAACCAGTTGATGTGTCTCTCTCACATCAATGTTTCTCTCTCTTTCCCTCCTTCCCTCCCATTCTTATCAGAAAAAAAATCAATGGAAAAATATACTCGGGTGAGGATTTTTAAAAAAATAAAACAGGCCCTGGCCGGATTGGCTCAGTGGTTAGAGCGTCAGCCTGCAGTCCAGAGAGACCCAGGTTTGGTTCCCGGTTGCAGTTTGTCCCCGGCCCTGGTTGGGTCATGAGGGTGGCGACCACTCGATGTGTCCCTTTCATGTCGATGATTCTCTCTCTCCCCCTCCCACTCTATCTGAACAAAATATGGAAAAATGTCCTCGGGTGAGGATAAAAAAAAAAATGAAACAAGACATGTTTCCTGTTTCATTCTGAGGAAGTATTTGGGTAAGACTGGTGGAATTTAACAATGAAGCTATTTTGTCCAAAAATTTTAAATTACTGATTCGATTTTTTAAACGGGTTATAGACTTAGTTAAAGTTTTCTGTTTCTTCTGCAGTTACATTTATTTATTTATTACAGAGAAGAAGAGAGAGAGAGAGAGACATTGACATGAAAGGGACACATCGAGTGGCTGCTACCTGCACGACCCAACCAGGGCCGGGGACTAACCACAACCAAAGTACATACATGCCCTTTGCGGGAACCGAACCCAGGTCTCTTTGGACCGCAGGCCAACGCTCTAACCGCTGAGCCAAACCAGCCAGGGCTGCAGTTACTTTTAATAAGTTACATTTCAAGAAATTGATTACACCTGATTTTTCAAATTTACTGACATGATGCTATTTTTAATGTTTTGCAGTTTTACGGTCCACTGAATCCACAGTGGTTTCTCTTTTTTCTTTTCACTGATTGTGCATCCACTTTCTTTTCTGTTACCAGTCTCACCAGAGGTTTGTCAATTTGACTAGCCCATTCAAGGAACCAATTTTTGGCTTTGCTGATCTTTTCTACTGTAAAACTTCCATTTGATTAATTCTACTCTTATTTTTATTATTTTCTTTCTTTGGGCTTTTTACCCCTTGTTTTTGGGGTTTTTTTTTATCCTCACCCGAGGACATTTTTCGATATTTTGTTCAGATAGAGTGCGAGGGGGGGAGAGGGGGAGGGGGAGGGGGGGAGAGAGAGAGAGAGAGAGAGAGAGAAACATCGACGTGAAAGGGACACAATGAGTGGTTGCCACCCACATGACCCAACCAGGGCCAGGGACAAACTGCAACCGAGGTACATGCCCTTAGCAGGAACCAAACCCGGGTCTCTCCGGACCGCAGGCTGATGCTCTAACCGCTGAGCCAAACTGGCCAGGGCAACCTCATGTTTTTTTCTAATTTTTAATTAGAATGATGCTTAGCCTACTAATTCTCAGCTTTTCTACTTTTCTAAGGCTATAAATCTCCTTCCATGTACAGCTTTGGCTGCATTCTACAAGTTTTGTACACAGTATTTTCATTATTATCCTGTTACAAATATTTTCTAACTTCCATTATATCATCTTCTTAGACCCAAGATATTTCAAAATTTTTGTTTGTAAACTATTAGGGGTTTTATAATCCTCTTTTTGTTACTGACTTTTTAAAATTTAAATATTTTAAAATTGATTTTAAGAGGGAGAGGGAGAGAGAAACATCGATGTGAGAGTGAAACATCGATGAACTGCCTCCTGCACACTCCCCACTGGGGATCAGGCCTGCAACCTGGGCCTATGCCCTGAGTGGGAATCAAACCAGCAACCTTTCGGTGCATAGGACAAAGTCCAACCAACTGAGACACACCAGCCAGGGCTTGTTACAGATTTTATAGGTCAATTCTACTGAGATCAGAGATTCTCATTGGTATTATTGTTAGAATGCTTTAAAACGTGTGAGATTTGCACTATGGCCCAGTATTGGTCAATTTTTACAAATATCGTATGTGTGCTTGAAAATAAAGTTTCTGAATGGAATGTTATTTATATGTACACAAGACCAAGAGTATTGATCCCGTTTAAAAACATCTGTGCTTACAGATTTTTTTGGTCTGCTTATTCTATCAATTACTAAGAAAAATAATTCCCATCTGGTATCATTTTCCTTCTATATGAAGTTCCTTTAAAATTTCCTGGAGTGCAGTTATGCTGGCAATAAATTCTGTCAGCTTTTATTGGCCTAGAAATTTTTATTTCACTTTCATTTGTGAAAAATATTTTCACAGAATACAGAATTCTAAACATTATTAAATGTCACTCTGTTGTCTTCTGGGTGACAAGTTCTGACCGGAAGTCACTGCCATTTGTATCTTTTTTTTTTATCCTCACCCAAGGACATTTTTGCATTTATCTTCAGATAG